ACCACAAAGAAGTCCAACAGTGGCAAGGGGGCGATGGGCAGCTTCCGAAACAACAACACGAAACTTCTAACCAGCACCAACAACAACACATCAAACAGCAGCAGCAACAACAACAACAACATGGCCACCAGTTCAATTCTGTCCACCAACAGATCATTCCGCATGTCACCGCGACAACAACTTGAAAACAACAACGTCAACAACCACAACAACAACTTTTCAACTTCGCCTAAAAATGTCGGAGCCTGGAACAACTCACTTTCCAGCAATAACAACAATCTAACCACAAATAAAGAACAACCACAACAAAACGTAAATAACATCACCAACAACAACCAACCACAAGTTATACACACAAACTTTTTAACGTTCATGAAGGCCACTCAGAAAGTAGGTCAGTTCAATGAGCAGGATTCTGATTCGTCGTCTGACGATGAGGTCAACATCATCAGGAAGAGGGTCAGACCAAAAGAATCAGGTCAGTGTCTTTGGGAGAATATATCTATGATGATTAGCTGCGTTAATCAGCGCTATACAAATATTTATATTATTATTTTTATTGTTATTACTATTATTATAGTGATCATATAGTGATGATGATTATAATTTTTTTGATAAATTGCTTTATAAAGCATGATTTATCGTTGCCATAACTTCGACATGACATTATTTTTAAAACACGATGTTAGTTATTTCAAACTTGTCACAATTAAGCCGGACGGCAAAACTTCAAGTCAATCAATCATAGGTACCGTAGCAAGTGGTGGTAAGAATAGAACCGACACGTCGTGTGATGGTGGTGTGGCACAGCAAAAACTATATGGCGTGCATTCTGTGAAGGAAAATATTTTAAGATCGATTAGTAGTAGATCACACTTTGCATTAAAACAGCAAATAAATTCGGAAGTAGAAGTCAACTTAGATTAGAAGCTAAAGATTTCATCTATCTTCTTCTTATCGAGGCTGTTGATTTGCAATTTATTATCAAAAAAAGGCTGCAACAAAAACATCATAACCTAATATTTTTTTTTATTTTTATTTCGGCAATCGATTCGTGGAATACTTTTTCGTCTTTGGTAATTTTGTTTTCATTATTTATTATTGTTTTTATTATTATTATTTATTATTGTTTTTATTGTTTTTTTTTTGGAAAATTTTGTCGTTTCTTTTATGTCAATTAACTCGACAATGAAAAGGTAATTGCCTGCTGGGGCAGTTTTCACAACAGTCTGTATTGGGCTCCCATGTGGCTAAGGTTCATTACCGCGTCCATTCTTTTTTAACAAGTTTTTACTAAACAGAGTTTTAATTTGTAACTTTCAAGAGAGAAAATTATAAATTTTTTGGGGTAAAACTTGTGAAATTTTATAATATTTTCTTGGCAACAATTTTCCACCTTTTTGTTAAATCATGTTGATATATTGATTAGGTTTTGTTATGAAAACAATGTGTTGAATTTGAATGTGAATTGCATAACAGATATGTGTGCGTACTATTGGCTTTTTGTTACGTGTGTGTGTGTGTGTGTTGCGTGTATGTGTGTGAGTATGTGTGTGTGTGTGTGTTGTATGTGTGTGGTTACATGTTTATGAGTGTTCAAAAAATGTATATAACAGTATAAAACAGAAATGTTATGAGCAGTTTTTGTATTTACAGTTAGTAAGATCCTTTTAACCAAAAAAGTGCTTTTTGACGAAAAGATGACGCGATAAGAAAAAATGTCGTCATCGACAAATGTTGGCCCCCTTCGTCAAAGGCCTTCTCCATCAAAATGTTGTCCCCAACACCGAAAAACATCGAAACCAGTGTTCTTTCACTTATTTCCAACTGTAACCTAAGTTAACCGTAATTTTAACTGTGAGTGGTCTAAAATAGGTAACTTTAACTGTAACTCGAATGGCAGATAAATAACTAACTTGACAGTAACTCATTCACTAAATTACTAGCTTGATCGAAAGAAAATCGTGGCTAAAAGATTGATTTTTATTAAAAATTGACATCCATTTGTATAACTTTTGATAACTTATTGAAATATTTTTCAAAATCCCCGCCGGTCAACGATTGAAATATATTAAAAATTTTCTCCCTCCTTTTAAAATTGTCTAGATCCACCACTGCTCTTGAGTGCTATAAAGTTGTTTGATATGTTTTCTGGATTTTCAAATTTGGATCAAGATACTTTACACAGTGTGAAATTTGAATGTCCGTACATGCGGATCCATTGATAGTACGCTTTCAGTCTTTCATTATTGGCTCTCTGAAAGCAAAATGTCTTTCATCTCCAACGGTTCCGTGCATTCACTTTCAAAACAAAATTTAACGGAACTAATGAACTGAAAAATAATAATCAAAAACATTTTCCGAAATGTATTTTGAAAGAAGGTTTTTATGAAAAGTTTTCTTAGAACTCGCTTTACATCAACTCCCTACATTCAGATTACGCTAGTTTAATGGCCTCTTTCATGTTTCACTTCTCGCCATTTTATCATTGCGTTATGTTTCTTTTATTTTCGTTCTTTATTTTTATCAATTTATTTATTATTTCATTTATTCTCCACATGCAAACTCGATAGTCATGTGCACTTGGCTCAAATACCAGACACATCTTTGTGCACTGCTTTGCAAGTGTGATTGCGCAGGCATGTGGTAAAAAACCACATACATATATTATGCATATAAACAAATGAATATGTTTGTTTATACGGTGTGTGTATAACCATATGTGTGCGAGTGTGTGCGTGTGCGCGCGCGCGCATAATGGTTAATTTCACCAATCAAAGCCAATCTTTATTCAATTTTTTGAAAAATATTATTTTCTCCGCAGATAAAATAACAGATCCCACATCAACTGCACGTATTTATTGAGTGTATGCATGTTGAAAGTTGAGACTCGTGACTTCTATGCGTGAGTGAGTGAGTGAGTGAGTGAGTGAGTGAGTGAGTGAGTGAGTGAGTGAGGGAGTGAGTGAGTGAGTGAGGGAGTGGGATTGAGTGGGTTTTGCATGTTTAATTCGTTAGGAAATAAAATGCGATGTGATGAGGATTATTTCTACAAATGAATAGTTGACGCAATTTGTTCATGCGCTTGTTTGCTAGCTGAAAGGTTCAAGTTCGCACCTCTTCAATCAGTCATTGATTCATTCATTGATTCATTCATTAAATCATTCATTGATTCATTCATTGATTCATTCATTGATTCATTCATTCATTCATTCATTCAATCGTTCGTTCGTTCGTTCGTTCGTTCGTTCGTTCGTTCGTTCATTCATTCATCCATTCATTCATTCACTTTATTATTATTATTATTATTATTATTATTATTGATGTCATTATTATTATTACTTTCATTTTTTGTCAATTATCTCCATTTTATTTTATTTCATTTTATTTACCATATAATTATCACATATCGTGCTAAATATATTAAAAGTTTTTTATATTTTTCATTGTCTCTTGGTAACGGTTAGTAGCAGTAGTAGTAGTAGCAGTAGTAGTAGCAGTAGTAGTAGTAGTAGTAGTAGTAGTAGTAGTAGTAGTAGTAGTAGTAGTAGTAGTAGTAGTAGTAGTAGTAGTAGTAGTAGTAGTAGTAGTAGTAGTAGTAGTAGTAGTAGTAGTAGTTGTTGTTGTTGTTGTTGTAAAATTAGTAGTTGTATTTAAATCAATCGTTCCTATCATAGCTCCAATCATCTAGCAGTCCACTGGCTCATTCAATTATAAATCTCTTACTTATTCAATCCTTAGCTTGTTTATTTTATTTAAATTAACTTTACAATTGTTTATTTATTTGTTATTTAAAGAATATTTAAAAAAAAAAAACCCTGTTCATTTTTTTTTATATTCTGATTAATGCTCCAAAACTCGTCCACTTTCATTCATTCATTCATTCGTTTCCTTGCTGTTGTTTAATAATTCATTTTTTTATTCTTCGTCTGTTCAATGAAATAATTCTTTGTCTCATTCACTTACTTAATCATTCACACTCTCAATCACTTTCACTCACTCACTCACTCTCAGTCACTCACTCACTCACTCACTCACTCTCAGTCACCCACTCTCAGTTACTCACTCTCAGTCACCCACTCTCAGTCACTCACTCTCAGTCACTCACTCTCTTTCTCTCGCTCACTCTTTTATTCACTCCTTCTCACTCACTCCTTCTCAGTCACTCACTCACTCCCTCACTCACTCGCTCACTCAATTACTCACTCACTCACTCTCTCACTCACTCACTAGCTCGCAGACAGGCCGTCAATATTGACAGTTACCAAAATAGAAGTCAGGTAATGATCTGCACTCTATCGGGATGACTGCCTTCTATAAATAGATCACAATTTATATAACTTGAAAAAAAGACTTATTATTATCATATATCCTTGGAACTTGTCATTCACGTACGTGAGTACGTACACACACACACGAGCACATGCACACATACGTATGCACACGCACACACAAACATAAGTACACACACATACACACACACAGACACTCACAATCACACTGGCACAAACACAAGCACGTACAACGTACATAGACACAAACAGGCACACACACACACAAACACACACACACACACACACACACACACACACACACACACACATAGTAACACGTACGTACATACGCACATACACACACATGAACGTGTTTATTTTATACGTATTTTCATATTTATTTGAATACAGTTAAATATATCTACGTGTAATAGACCTAAAATTATGGTCGTCTTAAGTAAATAAACGATGTTTTTCATACGTAGAACATGATCTGATAAGCAGCATGAATGATTGATTATCATGTGTAATTAAGTTGAAGAGAAAGTTGAGTGGCGTTTAATTTAAGCCCAGCAGCGTTGTAGCAAGTGAAATTTTTTTTTATAAATAATTTTAAAAAAATTAAAGAAAAATAATTTGTGTATTTAATTCACTAAATATATATTTATCGTAATACAATCATTACAATTTTTTTTGAATTGAAATAAATATATATAATATTATTTT